CTTGATGTCTCCCTAATATGATGAAGTGGCTACTTGAATTCCTGATGACAGCACTGCTGTTTAAATGTGAACAGTTTCCATCTTCTCTAATGTGCCAGTAACATTTTTAGACCTCTGTGAATGGATGAAACTTCATTGTTTGGTTTAAGCATTGTAGGATTACTAGGAATCATAGTTATAGAGAGTCAGTGAAGCTGAGAGAGAAATCCTTCAAGTCATAGAAGTTTAAATGAGATTTTACTCATGGTTAAAAAAACTTCATGAGCAAACAAGCTTATTACTCTTACTGAAGTGAAACAGGTATAGTTCTTATCATAATTGTTTTGTTGATGTTTAACTATACAACCTTTGGATGAAAAGCTTTTGAGTTTATGTAACGTGATGGTCATAATTTCTTTTTGGATGCAACAAATTGTCCTTTCTTTCTTTCCCCCTTAAAGGGAAGAACTAGACAACTGTTTTCAAAACAGAAATACTAATAGTGGAAAATCATTTTGAGATCAAAATAGAGAAGTCCTAGTCACTTCTCAGAATAGGACAACAGGCTGTTTTAGGGAAAGCACATATGATCTCTGTTATCTGTCAACATGGTAGCACAAAGCAGAGACTGTGACCAGAGATGTCACTTGAAAGGGTGTGCTTCTCTGCTGGGCCCATTTGTTTCTAATTGAGTTGAAAGACTCTTTGTGAACTCCTGGTACTCTTCCCTGCTCTTTTTATTCTCTCATTTTTCTTTGGCTTCAAAATTTATTGTACAATGTCCTTGAGGATTTCACAAGGGCCTTTTTACAGGCAGGTTGTTGAAACAGCTATTCTATCACTGAATACACCTTGATAGTCTCTTTGCTTCTTTTGTTGCCACTCTGCAGTCAGGTGTGTGGCATTGGCTAGAAGCTTATTTTCTCTCATATGATGATTTTCCTCTGATTTTATTTTGTTTACTTGAAGCTTTTCTATAGTTGACACGCTGTTATGTGTCATGGCTACACGTATGACATACATGGTTCTTTAAAAGTAAATAATTGTAGCCTAGATTTGTGGGACTGTTTGCTATTCAGTGGGACTAGTATATTTAAAACTTGGTGTAAAGGTATTTAATATCTTTACTCAATTAGCATAAAAATAGGCTTTTGTAATGGCTTGGAAAATAAAAAAGAAGTACATTTGCTTTACACTTAATGTAACAGTCTTGTGATCTTTCCTATTGGCCTTATTTACTTAAGCATGTACTGGGTGAATTTTACTTTAGATTTTACCATAGGCTTGTATTAGAATTAGGGCAGTGATTTGAAATGTCTAGTCACTGTGGAATATTCATTTTAGTGGGCTTGTCTCACACCAAGAAAACTGAAAGTTCTGCTATTACATCAATATAAAAGATCAAGTGCATCAATGTGACCAAAGTGACACAGCCAAATTTGAAACACCTTTGGGTCTTCATTGCAGTGTCATTGTCAGAATTTTGGGAGTCACAGAACAGCCCGTAACAGTGCAGCAGCCATTTGTGCCAACATCTTCAAAATTACTGATTATGTGCAACAGAGCAGTATTGTGGCTTGGCCATTAATTCTCTTCATGGCCTCTCCCCCAAATACACACTGCTTTATCTGATTTGAAGAAACAGTGTTAAGGCATTGCAGGTAGAGAATGAGGTAAAACTATTTGACTGTCTGGTAGGATGTGATAATGGAACAATGATTTCATTTGGAAATTCATTAAATGACTAGTTTTATACAAATTAATGTTCAGGCTTCTCAGATGTATTCTTTTGCTTAAGTTAACGTCAAATATTTTTTAATTTAGATTGGATGGACAAATTGCTTTTGTGATGAAGCTTTATTTTCTTTCCTTTTTTCATTTTAAGACGGTAGTTGACTTTGCAAATTTTACATACAAGTGCTTTTATTTCACATTTGACATACCACCTCAGACACAGGAAAATTTCAGTGCTAGAACTGTGGGATCTGTTCACCCCTGTAAACACAAGTTTCCACTAGACCGGACAGGATTATGAAATGTACATCGAGGGAAGACCAGAGTTCAGGGTGTGTATTTGAGAATGTTTTTCATGTGGGTAGTGGTGCTTTAAGTGATGCTTCACCAGGTTATTCTTGCTTTTAGAAATAAAAACTAGGGCATGAGAAGAGGAATCTCTTATTTGTCTTGGTATATAAAATAATTTTTTTGCAATCATCTGGGTTTTACCTTGTTTTCTTCTGTGTTTTCCCACTATCAGTGGGCATGGTGCTTTAAGCCTTTAAAGATTAGCCTATGGAAGGAGACAGCATTTTTACTCCTTGAGGAGGCGAAACAGTGTTGTATGGGTTCTCACACCCCTAGGTTGTAATGTCCAACTGAGAAGTCTGCGAATAGTCAGAAAATTACTCCTTCCAACCAGTTAACTGTAGAGGAAGGTAATAGGCAAATGACCTTTTAAATAGATCTGTATTAACTGAGAGATAGCTTTTTCTCATTTTTAACTGTGCTCCTAGCTTCATCATGAAGAATAGACTTATTTAACAGGGAAAACAAACTAGCTGAGGGATGAGTAATGATTTCTGAAGAAATTACTTTCCTTCAGTTGGTAGAAGTAACTTTTGTCTCTGGGGTGGATTTTCACTTAGGCAGTTTAAAACTTGTTAGTCTCCAGCAAAGACGTGGTGCTCGGGTTTTTTTGTGTCAGGGGACAGTTTTTTTGTTCTAGCTTGCCTTGTAGCCTCACAAACACCTATTTGGGAAAGAATTTTTTTGTAATTCTCTATTTTGCCACTTTTATACCTAGGAGGTCAACTTTCTTACAGCTAGCAAACAACACTGTTTTGGTAGATACTGAATCCTTTTAGGCTTTTCATCTTTTGACTTCTGTGAATCCAAGAGACAGTATCTCTTCACCAGAAAGTGACAGCCTTTTCCATTCTGTGAGAATCTTGTATCTAAACACTTGGTACCTTTCTTGAACGCTTATGTGTGCTGTATTATGCATTTTTTAAATGGAGAATAACATGACAAAAACATACCTATTTTCTTAACCCAAGGAAGCCTAATGCCCAATGACATTAATTCTCCTGTCCCGTTCCTTGTAACATTCTGCAGGCTTTGTCTTAGTCTTCCTCAGTGACATGTTGCAGATAGTTTACTACACATTAATTTTCTTACTCTAGAGTTTTGAGGATGTGTTGGGGGTTAGTAAAGTTGGTGATTGAGACCCTTGCAGATTTGTAGCTCACATGTATGGACTCGGTAAGCATTTTTGTGTGCTTTTTGCATTGCAGTAGAAGTGAATAATTAAATAGAGCTTTGTTGCTTTGCACAAGCTTTTTGAAGCAGCAGTGAGGAAAAAAAAAGTAGAGACTAATGGAGACAATGCAGAATTTGTTGTAGTTGTTTCTGTGATCATGAGCTGGCTACTTTTGTTCCAAAAAGTTAATTTAGAGCTTATCTCGAATGGGCTTATGGATGTTCAAGAGGGTTATGAACAAATATCTCTTGAGGACATTTTCTACCAATACTTTCTAAAATTTTGATTTATTGTTTTTAATCTCAGGATTGTAGTTTTCAATGGAAAATGTATGGCAGCGAATTCTTTACGAGCATTTATTTTGTGCATTAGTATTGCAATGGTAAAAGGAGGAGCTGTGAAAGAACAGGATTTCAATAATTAGTTTTTTATTTGGATTTGGGATTTTTCCCCCCCCCACCTCTAGTTACAAAAAAGTAATTGCTCGAGGCACCACTTTTTTCTGAACATTCAGATTTGCAAAAACTGCCAGGGCAGGTTTTGATAGCAACAGAGACTTCTTTCTTTACTCTCCAACATAAGGTTGCGAGTTAGTGATATCCTCTAATTGTCCAGGAAGACTTAAATCTCTTCTGTTGTTGATGAAGTAGCAGTGTTGTGAAAGTATTTCTTTATAATAATTCTGATTGAAGTCAAGGTCCTTTCATCAATCAGGATAGGTAGAGATGTTTTTAAGAAAAAAGTTGTATTCTAGATATTTGTCAAAAAGGCAACCATGTGCCAACATACTGCCAACACTTCCTTTCTAAATATAACTGATCACAAGCTAATAAAGTATGACTTCTTGTATTGAATGATAAATACTGGCATGCTCGTGTCTGGTTTGTCCTGGCTTGAGATTACTAAAAGGGAGAGATGGATCATAGAACTCGGTAGTCTTTTCTAGATTGCATGGTGTAACTTTTGTGTTGAGGGATCATTTGCTGTAGTGCTAATAGCTACATTATCCTGTTGTCCTTTATCAATATGTCTTGAAACATTCAGGCAAGTAGTTGAGACTTGACTGCTTTGGTGTCCAGCTGGTTTGCTTATTACCAAAATTTTTAGGATATTGCTGTGTCAGAAATTATTCTGAAAGGTCTTTAAAGAATTTTGACTACTGTTCTTCAACTGCAAGAGGAAATTTCACTCCCTCCAACTTCATTACCATTTCCTTCGGAAGAACATCTATAGGGCTGTGAATGAGCAAGCTATAACAAAACAAAAGACATCTGTGATTTTCCTCAGCCTCCCTGGTTTCTCACATTCCATTTTATTGCAAAGCCCTACCTAGCCTTTCTTCATTTTGATTTACACCAAACAAAACAACCCTTTTGAGCCTGCTGCTCATCAGTAAAGCATCCAAATTGCAGCAGAAGTATTCTCATCTAGTACCTGGTAGTTTTTCCCGTTAGTAATAGAGGAAGAGCCTCTGTGTCCTTGATTATTCAAGTCTCTGAATCAAAATGGGGAAATATATATTGGGGGAGGAGCTATATCTTTCTCCCATTCCCTTACACTTGGTTTAAAACCTGCCAGCCCCTCTGAGTAATTTATCAATCATGGAAACATTGACCCTAGCTTTTGGACAGGGAAAGTATTGAATGCTTAGCTTAAAAAGTAAAAGCAAAATCCCATACCCCACCAAAGAAGGACATCTGTTTCTAACTTCAGCTTTTTATTTTTTTATCTTTCATTTTTTTTTTGTTGGTAAATCTCCCAGACAACAGCAGTTCTGTAGAGAGTTTAAATATGAAGGAATGGCAGGACGGGCTAAGGGCACTTCTACCGAACATTAACATCAACTTTGGTGGACTGCCCAATGCTTCTTCCCCCTCCAACGCCAACCACAGTGTACCAACGTCCAACACTGCCACCACCGACAGCCTGAATTGGGACAGCCCTGGCAGCTGGATGGACCCCGCAATCATCACAGGTAACAGTTTCTCACTCCTTCAGCTCCACTGGCAAACCATCAAATGGGTATTTGGCACAAACTGATTTCCATCTGAAAAAAGAAAAAAGTCAGTATGCGGTGGTCTCTTCCAGCTTCCATCCACAAAACCTCAAGGGTCCAGGAATTGTTGTGGAACCTCTAGGTATAACAGAGCGTCACTTAGGACTTTGCAATGCATGCCCAGGACCTTTGCAGGCAGTCAGGTGGATCAGTGCTTTTCTATAGGGTCAATCTATAAGGTGTCCCTTCTGCTGGATGGCATGTCCGGTATGTGCGTCGCTGGTCCTGAGGCACTGAAGGCAATCATTGGGCTTTGTTATTTAAAAAAGGGACTGTACTCCACTTGTTTATAAAGCTCTCTTTTATAAGGCTGTCTGGTTGTGTTTCCCTGTTAGAGAGGCTGAAGCATGATTCAGGTAGGCAGAGTAATAGGTGAAGCATGTAGTGTACTGGCAGCTTGGTGTGGTAAGGTCACGTTGACAGGGTTGCAGTTCTTGAGCAGAATGTTTGATAGAAAAATGTGTGATTTATGAAGAAGTGCTCTGAGGGTGAACTTTCTCTTATCTCGATTTAATGGTAAATATTTTTGTGGGCAGGGCAATTATACATAATAATGTAAAATGCATTTTCTGTACAAACTAATCATGTTTTTTCATTGTTGCTTTTTGCTAGGTTAAAATTTGTCCTCTTCATGGTCAATTTATTGCTTCTCCTCTGACTTGCCTGTATCCCTGTTTTTTTCTTCTTTTCTTAGGTATCCCAGCTTCCACAGGAAACAGTTTAGACACCCTTCAAGATGACAATCCTCCACATTGGCTAAAATCTCTCCAGGCCCTCACAGAGGTGGACGGCCCCAGTGCAGCACCATCACAGACACACCACAGTAACCCCTTCGGCACACAGATCCCTCTGCACAGAGCCAGTTGGAATCCCTACTCTCCTCCTTCAAACCCCACCAGCTTCCATTCCCCACCTCCAGGCTTCCAGACAGCCTTCAGACCCCCCAGTAAAACCCCCACAGATCTACTACAGAGCTCAGCGCTGGATCGTCATTAGGAAAGGAAGAAAAAGAAAAAAGAAAAATAAGACCCAAAACGTTAGAAATGCAGGAAGTGTCCCACCCTGACTCCTCCCCATGCCCACCTACTGTTCCCTGTCATATCTTTCTTTCTGAAGAATCCAGTTCCTGATCAAACTTCCCCCCCAAATGCAATGCCATCACAGGGTCATGACCATTCTTTTTGTTAAGTTTCTGTAGAACCAGTGTTTGAAATACACTGTTTGAAATGCTTTCTAACCATTCTAAGAAAAAAAAAGAGAGAGAGAAATCAAAATGCAGTCTCAATGCTTAAGGAGAATATTACTGTCTTACTTCTTTTGCACATGAGTATTTCTGCCTAGTGGAAAAGTGTCAATCTGCAGTAGGGGGAAAAGTGCAATGCAGAATCAAATGCAAGAACATTAAAAAGGTATTTAATTTAAATGAAGTTATTGAACATGTGGGGCAAGCAGTGGCCCAGCATTTATTTTGCATTCAGTGTGGCACTACACAGGGAAATTGCTATGTTGGGGTTGGTTGGTTTTGTTTTTTTTTTTTTGAGCAGGGGATTTTATTGCATCAGTCAGAGTTTGACATGAAGTGTGTTGAAAGACAAAACACTTATAGCTATGAGTAACTGGCATGTTGCTAAAGAGTGTTTTAAAGAGGGGAGAATAAGTTTTTTCTTTAATTTTGGCTTTAGATTTCAAGTAAACTTTAATGTTTTAAAAGTATTCACAGATTTAATACCTAGCGTATACATAATATAATTATAAGCAGCTGAAACACGAGTGATATTTACTTCAGTCTTTCTGTCTCCTCTGTCAGTCTCTCTTTTTTTTTTTTAAAAAAAAGATTCACCTGATTAGGGCACTCTGGGATAGCACTGCATTGGGGCCACATGATCACCATCAGGAGCAACCTCTGACCTCCTCTGCCTGCAGCTTTTACTTAACCCTGTAGTTTCTGGACGTTTGTGCAGTATTGAAAAGACAGGAAAAAAGAAACAGATAAATAAACATGGTTATAACCTGACGCTAAAACTAAAACCAAGGAAATGTACCTCTTTCTTCAGAATTAAAACTAAAATCTTAAATAAAACAGAAAACTTGATGATGACTTCATGTTTGCTTTTTGATTTTTTTTAACCTTAGATTTTTAATTACTTCATCTGGTAAAAAGTGTATGCCGTTGCATGTTTGGGGTTTTCTTCTTATTCATCTGAACCAGAACTACTTTATCATTGGAAATACTGTCTTGTATAGTAACTTCTCTATTGAAGGGTGGAAAAAGCATAACACTTAAATCTTTTAAAGGGATCCTGTTGTCTTTACTCATGACAATAGCTAGAGGCGGTCAGTCTCTGTTATTGGTGGTATCCTTTTAAATGTGAAGCATGAAAATCTTGTTTATATTTTCTGAATTAAATGCCGTGGCACTGAGGGCAGATAGCATGCAATAATATGCCTGAAGATATGGCAGAGAATTTGTTATGACTTCCTGTGTTTGTCAGCAGCCTTCCATAAAGGTGTAAAATACTGTCACTGCACAACAGGGGATGAAGAGCTCTTAATGAACAGAAGGCCTCCAGGAAGCTTTTATACTTGCAAGCAGACATATTTAAAACCTGCCGCCTTGTGGTTGGGCTGCTAATTGATGTAGCTTACAAAGGTGGCAGAGAGCCTGAAATTCTAATGACGCCTGTGCAGAAGGATTTGTAACCTAGTAAGAGCTGTATAGTTCAGACTGGCAGCCTTCTGAAAATGTTTGCTGCTGGCAGCAAGAAATGAAGGAAGAGAATTTCTGCTGATGAACTGTAAACGCCTAAATGGGGATAGGGGGAGTGGGGGGTGAGGAACTTGCCTTTCAGGAAGTGGGAACAAATCCTGAGTCAGTCACTGTACAAAGGAGCCAAGTCTTGAATCTGTACAAAGTGTTTCTAAATACTCTGTTATGCAAAACATCACTTGGTGACTATGTGCCTTTGCTCTTCTCTCACCTTCATTGCCATTTTAGTGCCGTATTTATTACTCTGTATTATGGGCCTGCATGTGCTGTTTCTGAACTGGCAGCATTGCTACAGACCCACGTGCCCTGGGTTACTTGGGGGACCAGGTGCACTCCCTTTGATGCCAGTGCTCCCCAAAAAGCAAGCGATGTTTTTGTCACCCAGTCATCTCCTGTAACTGCTGATGGTGGAAGCAGAAGTGCTGTGGGCTGGAATGGCCTCATCTGTGGCAGTGCCTACTGGTGTCCCTGAACTGGGGGTGCAGCCCAGCAGGAGCTGTCTGCTGGAGGTGCTGCTGAAGATGTAAATGATATTTGATTTGGGTTTCTTTGTGTCTCCTTCCACAGTTGCTAGATATTTTTCCACCTTTAACATTTTGTTTTAGAAGGGTGTCCTTCCTGACTCTGAATATTAAAAAGGCTCCCAAAGCAGCTCCAACTGCTTTCTTATGTACCACAGCAATTCCCAAAGCTTCTGCCTCCTTCAGTTTTTCACTTGTCCCTTTGCAGATTAAGTGGTGCTGTGGCAACCCTGTGCCCGTGGTCTGCTGCCACTGGAAGTCAGGCTTTAGCTGCCTTGGAGACACACACTCCCTGCTGCCATGCAGCAGCTTGTGTGGTTGGCCTACCAAAAAAACCCTTAGCCTTCAGAACAAGATTTGCAACTACAATGACATTTTCTCCTTATGGTGCTGCTTTCCCAATACAGACTTCTTGGTGGCTAACATTGGCATTACAACAGTATCGTGTATCAGTGATCAGACTGATGTGTGTTGGGTGCAGCTTTTGCCACATTTAGCTTAGTTTTGTGTACAATCTGATGTGGATTCTGCATCCCCTCAGCTGGGAACCAACCTGGTGTTGCACTCTGTTCAACTGTGTGGAGCTCACTTGTTTTTTTTTTTCTCCTGAAGTTTTGGGTTTACTGGTGGGGGGAGAAAAGTGATGTTTTGTTTTTGTTTTATTTGGGGTTTGGGGGGCTTGTTTTTGGTGTAGTTTTGGTTGTGCTTTTTTTTTTTTTCCCTTTAATTAATTGATGGAGTTTTGCTATGACAAGAAATTCTGTACAGGAACAGTTATTGGAAAGAGAACATCTCTGTGATTGTCTTAGTTCATGGTCTGTTGTTTCCTATATTGTATGGATACTTGCAGCTCTTTCATGCATTAAGCAAAGAACAGTGCTTGACTGAAAGGCTGGTGACCCAGGACTAGCAGCACATTTGGTAGATAATGTCTGCTGAAGATAAAGGATGGCCCAGACTCCTCTTCCAAAATGTTTATGATTGTGTGTGGAAGGAAGGGAATTCTTGGCCATGAATGTGTTGGTGTAAGACGCTGTATGGCATTTTCAACAAATTTACAATTCAGGTGTAGTAATTTGAGGGTGAGCAGTGCTGCATTGATAGTAAGGGTTTCCTAAAAGCCCTATGGCTTTTTTTTTTTCCTCCCATCTTTTTAATATTGAACAAGAGAATGATGTTTTTCTAGATTAAAGCAAGGAATAAAATGTTACCTTCTGGCTGAGGTGAAGAGCCATTGCATGAATTCTTTTTCCTTTAATAACTTTCATTGCCTCGTTGGAAATCAAGTGTCAGCAGGTATGTGGCATTGTAAATGCAGTGTCTTCACAGAACTGTTTTAATCACACTTAAAATAGAAAAAAAAATAGCTAAAAAGGAAAAAAAAAATGCTAAAAAGTATTAACGAGTATTAACTTGCAACTGGCTTGTTACTGTGAACTTCAGTTTTCCTCCTGTTGTGCAAGCTTTTGGCAGTGCCCTCCCTGTGCCTGGAACAGGAGCCGGCTCTCAGCTGGTACCAGCTTTTAACCCAGCCTGATGACTTGAGCAGCAGTTGCCGGGAATGAGGGAAGGTCTGATTATCTGCTGGGCTGTTCCCAGGCACATTCACCCCCTGTCACCCCCCTGCCTTCTGCAGCTGCTGAAACGCTGTTGCAGCATTGCTGCTGGAGCAGGCATTTCAGCGGTGCTGCCCACAACTGACTGGGTCAAGCTGGACCTTCCTCATTCCCATTTGCGATTTCCTGAACTCGGCTTTCGTTTTTCTTCTCCTCTATCACAGACTCTGTGGTCCAATAAGTTGTTGGTTTTTTTTTTCCCTGAGATGCTCATTTAATCATAAACATTGAAGATGTTGGATTTTAGTGAAAACGGGGGATGGTTTTTGCTTTGTGGTTTTTTTTTGTTGTTGTTGTTGTTTTTTGGTTTTTGGTTATTTTCTTCTGTTTTAGTTTGGAATTTTTTATAGTTTGGTAGAGCTGGTCATTCTGCTGTGGAGATTTCTGGCTTTTTTTCTTCTGGTGGGAGAGAAAGGGTCATGCATTAGTTTCCATCCTTATCTTTGCAAGGGAGTTTAGAAAAATACACTCAGAAAGCTTGTGATGCCTGGGTACTTATTGTTCATCCCTCTCCTCAGAACGTGTGGAAGTTGCCTTAGTTGCAAAGGAGCTTGGCACGGGTGTTGGTCTCTAGCACACATAAATCCAGTGTAAGATAGGAGTTGTATTGCCTGGGACTAATTCCTTCTGGGGAAATAAAAACTCACTGCTCAGAACTGAGGTGTGTCAAGAAACTAAGAGGTGGCAGGCAGAGTGCTTGAAGGGTTGGGGGCTGGGGCTGTCACCAGCCCTGCTTGAAGGGCTTGTAGGTATTTGTAACTTCTTGAGGGGGGTGACCTCTCCTCCAGTCCAGCTGTTGGTGATGTGAGTTTTCAGTGTGGCCAGAGCACGTACTGCAAAGTGGTGTTTGGCATGAATCTGTGCTTTGAGTGCTTGTTGCTTTCCATCTCCAGCAGTGTGTGGCTGCATGGCCAGCAGTGGATGTGCTTTCCACTTCACTGGTGTATGGTCATCTCTTTGAGCTGAATGAAGATGTAGGAACTTTAAGAGCTTGTGCTCCTTCCTCTTTGCTGAAATCTCAGCATCTTTTTTCCTTCTTTGGGATGTTCAGCTGATAATTTCCTAAATTTCTGAAGATTCTTAGCTATTCCATATATTTGTAGATTTTTAGGAAACAGTTGTATGGTTTCTAGTACATTTTCTGTGTTTCTCACATAATAAGCTAAACCTTTCTAACACATTCTTGAAATTCTGTTTGGTCTTACTCTTAAAAAGAGAATATCTGACAAGGACATCTTGTTTTCCACCAGAACTTGAGACATAACAAGAAATAGGGCAAAGAAGCCCCTGGACCATCTCCAAGGGGCTGACCTAAGGGTGGGTTACTGGGGCAACTGATCTCCTTTTGGATGTACCCACTACATATACAAAGTAATTAACCTTATAAAAATTGTAGAAATCCTTTATCACGGGTGTGTATACAACCATATCTGGGCACCCAAAAGCTTTCATTAAAGAATTGCTTTTTATCTTACCACTCTTAATATTGTTTGGAAAGTTTTTTGTCTTTGGATTCCAGGCAACAATAGGAAGGAGCTCTTGAGTTCTTGAGTAATAACTGAGATCTTAAACAAAGCTTTTAAAAAGTAAAAAGGTCAAATATTATCATAGCTTTGGGTTGCAGTGTCAGAAAAGACATAGCCTCAGAATGCAAGGGTACTGTAAATGAGTGAGATGTTCATCTTCCCTATTTTCTGGCCTTTGCCCTAGACAAATGTTATGTTTCTGTTCCAGATTGAAGGCTCGAGTTGGAAATGGCCATATGAAGTTGTTGCCATACAAGTTCAGGGAGCTAGAGTGACTTGTGGGACTCTGAATTGCTGCATTGTGAAGGTTTGAGGTGGGTTGGGTGACCTGGCAGCTGCAGATTTGTTACTGGCTTTGCTGATGAAAAGTACTGGTCTAGAGTGGTCTGATGCAGTGACTTAGGTATGGAAGTCATTTGATCAGAGGTGGTGTCACTACAGGGGAAAACAGTACAGAAAAGTCCTTTTAAATTTAAAATCTGTGGGAGAGTGATCTGCCTGACATCTGATGGTCAGGAGGTTCCATCTCCTGCAACACAGATGAGTCTTTCAGTGGGATACAGGCATCACATAGTTACTGTTGTCTTCTGTGAAATCTTGCTAGATTGCTAGTTCTTTTTCCCAGTCCTCAGACTTAAAAAATTGATAAATAATGTGTGTGTTTAAGA